TGGTGAGCGATATAACGTTTAACATGCACACCGCAGGGCTTTCAGAAAAACATTTTTTAAATTATTATGAATACAGATCAGTTTATTATAATAAAATATAGTTTTTTGGTTGTTAGACTTTGAATTTTAGTTTTATAGTTTTATTTTGATTTCATATTTATGTTATTAAATGTATTAAGCCGTGTACCAAATATTTCTAAAAATAAATGATAAAACACTTATTATATTACTACACTAAAATATAGATCAGTTTATGATAATAAAATACATTTATATATATGATTTAAACTTTTAGTTTTATGGTTTTTTATTTCGGTTTTTCGATTTTATCTGAATTTGATATTATTTTTTTGTTTTTATTACGATTTTATCTGAAAGCAACAACACTGTAAGTAACACTGATTAAACTATTAAACTAACCCTAAGTTGGATACAAAACTGGACGAGCGTTGTGATAATCTTCTTTGATGCATTATACCAACTGGGTAACAGCCTTCCACGTTGGGGTTTTTTCATCGACAGCTGATTTAAAGCTCATCAGAGAGTGCTGCCATCGGTCAGCTGACGGAATAGCCTCCAGCTCGCGGAAGTTTAGAGATACGCACTTCGATGTAATATTCTCTCATTTGTTGTAAAAGCGTAGATATATTGCCTACCCATAAATTAATTACTAATTGTAAATGTATAAAGTCTGAAAACTGGTATTACAAGCTTATGTTTGTTCCTAGTGTTTAAAATGAACATATTTTTTCTTAAGAAAGCTATTTATGTTTATGTACATACATTACATTTTCATAAATTTATATATATATATATATATATATATATATATATATATATATATATATATATATATATATATATATATATTGTATAATAAATATATATAATAATATTTTTTATACGTGGTAGGTAGAGCCATGCTGCAGTTATATTAGTAGTATAGTTGTGTGAAATAGTAGCTTAATGCTGTTGTGTTTCGTATGGTGAGTGTAGGGAACCGAAGAACCTCTTTACTGAAAACGAGGCATTTCATCTTAGTCCTCACAGGTGACAAAGCATCTGCATTTTGATTTGTAAGGGTGGCAGGTGGGCGGTGTGCTCGTTTGTCACCCCATCCTATAAAAAATTATGCTATGAAAGTAACTACATGCTTATCTTATTAAATAATAACATAAACATAAAAGTCTGTATGTTAGATGTTTTTTTTAATGTTTGTTTGTTACTCAATCATAATAGAATGCCTGAACCGCTAACGCTCGCTAGTTACACATAGAAAAAAAGAAGAAAAAAGGCCTCCAACAGTATATACAAATGTTTTCATGTGTTCATGCATCCTAATTTTTATACTGGATGGGAATCGAACACAGCCATCTGGTTTTCTAGCTTACTCGTAGTACAAACCGCTAGATCATTTGCTATCACCACCATTGGTTAAATAAATTGATTTATAGAAACTTGCAAGCATATAGGTACTAATTTGGTTAGACTAAAAATTTTGAACCTATATTTGAGAGAATTATGTTCTTCAGTGGGCGCGTAGCGCGAAGAAAGGTGAGTGAATGCTTTTGAATTAAAGCTGATGGTTAAGTTAATCTTCAGCATCTTTTTCAAGTTTTTAAATTATTAACACGATTGAAATAACGTTAGTTCATTAAAACCTATCAGCCAATACGGACAAATTAACAAACCTGTTATGAAATTTCTCAAACAAAAAGAATCACTTAAATTAGAATGTATCTGTCCTGCACCAAAAAAATGAGGTTAAACGTCATGGGAGCTTATTGCCAAATACGATACGTAGGACCGCGTACGATTGTATGCGGTCCATCGAATTGTGGAAAAACTAACTTAGTTATCAGCTTATTGTTACATCAGAATGGACCACGTTTCCGCAACCTTTATGTATATTCAAAGTCTTTATATCAACCTAAATACTTATTTTTAGAAAAAGTACTGCAGGATGTGGAAGGTACATCTTATTACAAGTATAATCATAATAGTGAAATTTTGAGTCCACACTAAGCTTCGCCTAACTCAATTATAATATTTGACGATGTATCTTGTGAAAATCAGAACAACATACGCGATTATTTCGCCATGGGACGACATAAGAACATTGACTATTTTTATATTAATCAAACGTATACAAAGATACCTAAGCAACGGGTAAGAGATAACGCTAACCTGATCATATTGTTTAAACAATATGACATAAATCTGAGACACGTTTATGACGAACATGTAGGGTCTGATATGACATGGTCTCAGTTCCGGGAAATGTGTTCAACTGTGTGGAGTAAACCTTTCAATTATGTTGTTGAATAAAGACTGTGAACGAAATAAAGGCTGTTACAGAATGAAGTGTGATACATTCATACTAGTAGACTAAGTTGTAGTATTATTGACGTTTAAATAGCTGCTATGTCACAAAGAAATCAGTTTCTGTTGAGTAGTCAAGCAGAGTGCAATTCCTTTACAATGGAACGAGACCTTAAGAAAAAAATTGTAAAATCTGCAACAGATGTAAAAAGTAAGGTAGAAATGATAAATGATGCAAATAATACAAACAATCTGGCTTTGGAAATAATATTTAAACTTATCGTTGATCCGCTTAATATGCTTACCAGAAAAACTGAAGAAAATCAGCATTTAAATAAAGATACAGACCAAGCTCATCTTATTAAACAACCTAAGTACAGCGCAAGTGAGTCATCGATTTCTTCAAATGATGTGTTTGAGGATCCTGTTAATGATGAAGAAAACTCGGATAATGATGTTTATACAACATCCAACAGAACCCTCACTCACTCGCTTCCTGCGGATGATAATAACACGAATGAAATTTCGTTTAGATCTCATCAATCAACACCAAGTATTGCAAATGATTCATTATCATGGTCTATGTCATGTCATGTCAGTCTGAATTACTAAAAGGTGTACCTTATGGTGTCAGAAATGAACATGGAAAACTAATGCTCGGCGCATTACGTGTATGATGATGATCACATCTTAAAAATTGGAAATCATAGTTTGAAAAAAACTCCAGGCTTAAAAGAGTTATTGTTTAAAAAGCTACCAAATTTAGATATTGTAACAGAGGAAGACTTACAAAATTATAAATTGTTACTTTTGGATACTAATGCACACAAACGTAGTTATGATCCATCCAAACCGATTAACAGTAACAAAGGATTTAAATATATGCAAGGGATCAAACCATTGTTTAAGCACTCGAGAAATCATAAAAGTAGTGTAGAAAGTCTTCTAAAGGGAGAAGGAGTTGATATTTTAAAAGAAGTTAAAAAATATACTGATTTGGTTTACTGGAACGATCCAAATGAGTTAGTGGAACGATTAAAATTACTACTTGGATCATGGGCAGCTAATAACACAGGGGTTTACAGTGAAATTTATGCAATAATCGAAGAATTGTACGAATCTGGCATCATAAAAGACATTAAATATATTAAGCTGCCTACAGGAGGGTTACGCAGTACCATTTCATTACAGAAGCCGATAAGACGGCTATAAATATAGACAAATTTGGTCATCATCAAAGCGTTTACGACTATCTCAATGCTCTGATATTCTCAGCTACGCTTTAGTAAGAACAGACGCAGGTGATTTTGATTTGAAATCAACAAGATTAAAAGGACTGCAAACTCCTGAAAAAGAAGATGAGGCAGTGAATAAAGAAAATGTGGATAAAAGTGTTCAAGAACTTAAAAATGAAATGAAAACAATTCACAATAATGTCAAAAAGTACCTTAGCAGTTTAGAAAAATTGACTTGTTTCTGTTATCGCTCATGATTACCCAATGGTCAGATATAGTCAATGAGCTTCACAAAGCAGCAAGTCGAAATTTTTCTCATCAACATACGATTATTAAAGGAATAGATGATTTATGGCAAGCTGACCTGACTGATTTTCAAAAATATTCAACGTTTAATAAAGGATATAAATATGTTATGGTAGTAATCGATGCTCTATCAAAATACGTATGGGTTAGACCATTGAAATCGAAACATAAAAATTGTATCAAAAATGCGATGCAAAGTCTATTATCTGAATCAAGACGAAAACCTAAAAATTTACAAACGGATCTTGGTACAGAGTTTTATAATGATTCTTTTAAGAATTTTTAAAAAGACCTTTGTTAAAAAGGCCTCCATTGTAGAACGAGTAATAAGAACTTTAAAAATCGGCTTTACAAAATATTCAGTCTATGCGGACGATATCAATGGTTCAAAAATAATTTAGATTTTGTTGTAAAGCGGTATAATAATACTTTACAAATTCGCATTTTACAAAATTCAAGCCTATCAACGTTAATGATTCAAATGCGATTTTAGTTATGTCAAACATCAAGAAGTCTCAAAAACCTAAGATACGTCAGGGACCAGCGTTTCAAGTTGGCGATTACGTTCGTATAAGCAAATACAAAGGAGATTTTTATAAAGGTTACAACCCTTAATTGGTCTACAGAAATATTTCGTATCGTTAAAGTCAACCAAACCAATCCTTAAACCTATTCAAATAGAAGACACACAAAATCAAAAAATTCTCGGCTCTTTTTACGGTTACGAACTACAAAAAACTAAATTTCCAGACCTTTATCTTATTGAAAAAGTCATTAAAATAAAAGGAAATAAGCTTTTAGTAAAATGGTTAGGTTTGAGTGATGACGAAAGTATTGGGTGGATAAAAGCGAATTAGTGGTGTAGGTATATAAATAACGTATTATTACTTAATAATCTCATTTTATACTTATCGATGAAGGAAGACAGCGGTATAATTAATAAAGTAATAGACAATTTACCGTTGAGTTACACTTACCTGGCTATCAATTTTGCGGTCCCGGAACGAAACTTCAAAAACGATTACTCAAAGGCGATCGTGGATAAACAAATTGGATGAAGCGTGCATGCTCCATGATATTGCTTACACTAACAAAGATTCGGGCGCTCGACAAAAAGCTGATTTAGAAATTTTGAAAATGGCTAAGAGGAGGTTGAATTCAGAAGATGCTAGAAAAGGAGAAAAAATTGCCTCATGGATAGTCAAAAATGCGATAAAAGCGAAAATCCGGGAGGGGAGCGGAATAAAAGCATTTAAGAAGGGGATAAAAAAAATACAGTCTCAGTTGAAAAAACTAAAATCCAAAGACAATCACTCGGCTATAAAATATACCTATGCAGCTGCTAAGAAAATATTTAGTAATAAAAAAGGAATAAGTTTACCTCGTTATATTCCTCTTCCAAAGTGTGGAGGACTTTTACCCCTTATTCCCATATTTGCGGGATTGTTAGCTTTAGGATCATTAGCTTATGGAGCAGCGGGTATAGCAAAAGCTGTTAATGATTCAAAAGCAGCACAAAAGAGTCTTCAGGAATCTGAAAGACACAACAGAATGATGGAAGCCGTTGCTCTAGGAAAAGGATTATACATTAAACCTCATAAACAAGGAGCAGGTTTATATCTTAACCCCTCAAAAAACTTATTAGACGGCTACCCAGGCGAGCGCTCACTAACCTCGACATATTAGAACATGCAAGTGACATTCCATACTTTCGTGGCGTTTTCATGAGAAATAAATTACCTTTGAAACCGAGAAAGATAGAATGTGGAATACTGAATTTGGATAGCTACAGAAATCCTGCAACGCATTGGGTAGCCTTTGTAAAGCACAATAAATACGTAGAATATTATCATAATTTTGGTAATTTAAAGCCCCCGTTAGAATTAGTTAAATATATGCATAACTTACCTATTAACTGTAATTATGCGCGACATCAAGCGTTTGGTGCTACAAACTGTTTGTGAAATAAACGTATCAGTATAAAAATGTCTTTCACTGTGTCTATAACTGGGACAGGAGCCTCTTTATCAACGAACTATTCACCGACAATAGAACTACGAGGAGACTACGAATGTGGCCTTTTGTATTTTTCAACTTTCAATTCTATTCCCAATATAGATGAAAGAAACAATAAATTTTATTATGGTGAAAAAGAAATGATCGAAATTCCTGAAGGGTCTTACGAGCTTCAAGATATTTGTGATTATCTAAAAAGTAATGTTAAGAACACTTTACTAAAAGTAACTTGTAACAATAATACATTGAAAACAAATATTTTTTGCTCTCAATATGTGCACTTTAATAGAAGCGAATCACTGGGTAAAATTTTAGGCTTTAGTATGGAAACAATAAAAGCAAATATAAGTACTGAATGAAAGTATCCTGTCAGTATTCTATCGACATCCATCGTGCGGATTGAATGCGATGTAGTTAGTGGTTCATTTGTCAACGGGAAAGCAAGCCATATAATTTATGAATTTGCACCTAATGTACCACCTGGCTATCGAATAATTGAAATACCTAGAAACTTGATTTATTTTCCTGTTAACCAAAGTTCCATAAGTGCTATCAATATAAAGTTATTGAACGCTGAGAATAAAGAGATAAATTTACGAGGTGAAGTAGTACAACTGTATTTACATTTCCAAACAAAAAATTTCATAAATTTCAATAAAAGCCCGTCTACTTCGTGTATCCAAGCCAGTTTTAAAAGAACATCTCATAAAGGCACACCTCTTCAGCTAAAAAAGAAGCTTACCAAGTCTAACAAAGAATTTCTTAAGCTAGTTCGCTTGATAAAATGAATATTTTAAACGTATCTCAACAAACATCATACGATAACAGCATTGAAAGTTTTGAGTAGCATTCATACAAACCATATGTAACTAGTTTTAACAAGAATGACGAAATACGTTTTCCTATTAATCAGCAAGACCTGTACGTACTACCTTCACTCAGTAGTTTATATATCGAGGGAAAGGTGAACGTTTACAACAGCACCACAAAAAAAGGTATCAAACGTACATTTTGTCAATAATCCTATGCTATTTCTTTTTCAAGACATACGATATGAACTTAATGGAGTAGAAATAGATAAAATTAAGAATGCTGGTGTCACTACTACAATAAAATCTTACCTATCCTTAAATGAAAATGAATCCAAATGTGCTCGAGTTTGGGGCTGGTCAACTGGCGGCACAAGCACCACTAGCGGTGGAGCGTTAACCGCGTCTATACCATTGAACAAGATATTAGGATTTGCAAAAGATTATGTAAAAAATATAATTAATTGTAAACATGAGTTAGTATAATTACGAAGCAATACAAATCTTAATGCGATCAAGTTAAATACAGGTGAAGTTGTAGAAGATATTATAATAAATAAAATTGTTTGGCGAGTTCCACACATCAAAATATAGATGTGAAAGAATCGGCCTATTAAATTTAGAGAAAGATAGAGTTTATTGGCATTGTTCCTGGGACTTTGAGTATCCATTGCTACCCAAAACACGTAAACATACTTGGTCTATAAAAACTTCATCGCAAATAGAGAAACCACGATTTGTGGTCATTGCCTTACAAACCAACCGCAAACATAACGCGAAATTATTAATGGCAGAGTTTGATCAATTTCACGTACGAGATGTAAGAGTCTTTTTAAATTCATCATATTATGCTTATGAGGGGCTGAATGTCAGTTTTTTAGAAGATAAGTTTACTTTATTATATGATCAGTATGCGAAATTCGTCGTATCATGGACGCCGGTCAGAGCCGTTGATGGGTTTAAAGGAGTTCGGAGACGTGCCTCTATTATTTGTAATTAATTGTTCAAGACAACACGAAACTTTCGAAACGAAAGGTTCGATCGATGTGAGAGTTGAAATCGAAACAGACCAAGAAATACCAGATCAGACAACCGCTTATTGCTTGATATTAAACGACTGTATATTCGAATACAAACCACTGAGTAATATCGTTAAGAAAATATCATGAATAGCAATACAATATTCGTCGATCTTCAAGGCTTCAAAAATAGCAAAAATGAATTTATAGTAAAGGAGTTTGCTATAGCCACTTTAGAGTATACCAATATATTCCTAATTAAACCTCCTTACCCATTCACTTCACTATCTCTTGAAGAGAAAAAACAAATTTGCTGGATATGAAAAGCACAGAGGGTATCGATGGAGTGAGGACTTTGTTGATTATAGAGAATTACACAGAATTATAAAGACATATTTGAAACATAAAAAGATTTTTTTAAAAGGATGTGAAAAAATTAAATGGGTGCAAGATATTTGTGATGAAAATAATACTATCGTAGATATAAGTTGCTTAGGAGCTCCCAATATAAATACTCTTTGTGAACTTTATTGTAAAGATACTTTACTGTATAACTGTTGTAATCATAAGAAAATATGTGCGTTAAAAAATGGTTTTATGTATTAAGAAATGGTGTTTTGAAAACAAAATGATTGTTTAATTTCCAACAAAATAGATGTAAATAAACACTTCATCTTTTAATTTCAACTACCTTTGTGTTAGAGAAGAAGAAAAAATATAGTTTCAGACCGCTAACGTTTAGTACTTATTATTAATGTAACTGTTTTTTATACTACCTTGCATTTTTAACGATGAAATAGATTAGCCTTCATATTTTGTTGTTATATTATTGAACCATTTGTATTTGAGATTCTGAATGAAACGGTATTAGAAATGGAGCAAAACATAATAAAAAGCGGTTCAAGAATTAGATTTAAAAATTTAGACCTCTAATGGAGAGAATTGGGGCCTTCAGCGGCACGTAGCTCGAGCGAAGCGAGAGCAAGTGACGCAGAAGCCCCAATTCTCACCTACTCCCGAATCCTGCAGTTATCTTTGAAGTGCTCTGTGATGGATCCGCTTCCACAATAGCCTTTAATTCTTCATTTTCCAATTTGGTCTCCGGCCTTCCACGGGGTTGGTTCTAAAGGTCGAAATTTCCAGAACGAAAACGTTGAAACCAAAAACGTAGCGTGCTTTCTTTTGCGACACCAGTGCCGTACACACCATTAATCCTTCGAGCTGTTTCTGCAGCACTGGTGCCATGATAGAACTCGTACTCGTAAATATACCGATATTTCATGTTTTCCATAGTGCGGTAATAAGCGACGCCAAAGAAAAAAATAATGAGAAAAAAACAAATAAATGACTGTTTTCAAAACTCAAATGTACCTACCAACTTTTTGAATTTGGAAGTCTTAACAAAAGAGGAGATATTTCAGATGAAATTGGTCTGTATGACAAAACGCTAATTTCATATGTAAGGACCCAATACAACCGACCAGGATCTCACACGGCAGCGACCGCGCTGGGAGTCGGTTCAGTGTTCCAACAGCGAATGCACGATCGATTTTACTAGCAATCTGCTTTCGCGCTTATGTAGCACTCACCTTTAAAATTTAAATAGTCAAAATATATTATAATTTCAATTCCATTATTTTCGTTTTGTAAAATTTAGCCTAAAAGTGTAATTTATATGATTTTATTTCATTTAATTATTTATATGTGCGTGTATTCTGTCGGTGATTATAGTGATAATTAGAGAATTTCTGAACTTTTATTTTTAACACCCGTTAGGTGCACAACCATACATCAATCTATTTTTGCTCAAGTTCTTCATTATTAGGAAATCTAGAGAAAAACAATTCCATTATTTTTTAATGGTAGTCACCTTACTGTTAAAACAATTACAACAAATTATATTACTTATCTATGAAATGATTACCACTTCCAAGATAAGATTCACTATTACATCCTTTTACACAACAACAAGTTAGCACCATTTTAACTGTAGAAGTTACAAACTAAATTCAGAAATAATTATAACAACAAGATCGCTTTTCCGCCATGTTGTTTCAATGATTAATGACATCACCCTTAGTGTTGTTATCTAATATTCTTAGTTTCTTATTTTGATAGCGGGAACTTCCAACTAAATTATATTTACGACTTTAAATTTAGATTGTATGAGTTAAATCAGTACTTCCACCGTAAAATAATTTTATGCTAGCAATCCGTAGGACAGGGACATATTCCTACTTAAGAGCCTCTCATTTGGCTCGTTTTTCCGTTTAGCAGGGTTATATTAAATACTGGACAGTTATTTATTGTGCGGAACAAATTGTCTAGTGCACATATTTTTAATATCTTTGACTTACTATCGTATTTGGCATAATATAAAGAGACCAAAGTGACCACTTGACATTTATTTTTCCACGCATGAATTACACGCAAATTTATCGATAAATTTGTCTCTTTTTGCCTTATCTGAAAATTAAATTTGAAAAAGCAAGACAAGTATATTGTCTCAATTTATGTAGAATTGTAGGTTGTAGGTTCTCTCCACAAACTAATAAGAAGTACTAACTTCCCGCGCCGCTACACGTATTCTATGAATACGTGTAGCGGCGCTGTCGTCGCGCCACTAGCACACCGAAACACACCGAAGCTTAAATCGCGCTATTAACATTCCGAATCATAGACAGTATATATAGAACTTCTCCGAACTATCACTCGGAGTGGGAGCCGCTCCCCGGGCACAACACCTTGCCCGGCGGGAGATCTCCCCTTTTCCTACCACGGCCACAGTGGTGACCCCGACGTGATCTGAACATGCAACCAAACAACCTTCGGAAACTTCAAGCTTCATCATCGTCATAGAATACCCCACTCATTCGCTCCCGAGCAGATATCGTCTGCAGTCTTCATATCCTGCAAGCCATCTAGCTTCACAAGGTTCATCGCAGCACTGGAATAATAATGCTTCCTGTTCCTTCAAGCTACTCTCTGCGCTATACAGTGTTCGGCACGGCTCTGAGCCTTACTGCTCGCCTCTGCTTCACGGCACTTTCGCAGATTACTTGCCTTCTTCTCGACTCACCGCAGACTACAAGGCAATCTCCTGGCACTTGCACATTCGTCGACAACGAGACAGCACTATCGACCTCCGGTCTGAGCAGGGGGGTGATGTAGCGGCGCTGTCGTCGCGCCACTAGCACACCGAAACACACCGAAGCTTAAATCGCGCTATTAACATTCCGAATCATAGACAGTATATATAGAACTTCTCCGAACTATCACTCGGAGTGTGAGCCGCTCCCCGGGCAGAACACCTTGCCCGGCGGGAGATCTCCCCTTTTCCTACTACGGCCACAATACGTATGTACGAAGAGTTTGTACCTATGATTTATACCTCAGGATTTCAGGATTGGACAAGTAGTACTCTTATTAGTTTGCGACAAGTATCTCTTCTGTCGTCCGTACTGTAGCTCTACATAAATCACAAACTATTATACTAAACTTGGCTAAACTAAAGGTTTTGGCGAGAACTTGGCCGTCGATGGGTTGTCGCTCCTGTTTTGTCACTCGAATAATGTTTACAAGTGGATTTTCATTCGTAAAAGTGATGCGATTTTGTGAATTAAATGTCTGCGCGTGTGAAATATTAGAAAAAACGACGATACAAGTCGCTCGCAAAAGATCGCTTGGGCGCCTTATGAACTTGAGTGGCTGTCGTCATCAACTGTCCGCTGGGTTAAGCTGTATGCATATTGTATAGAATAAATATATAGAAACGAAGATTACGAAAGAAATAATGGGCTCAGAAGGGCTAGAACCCAGAGCCGTAAAGCCAGTTCATGGAGGTTAGAGAGACGCAGAACTAACGCCTTTCCATAAAAAATTGTAGAATTTATAACCGCGCTGCCGTCGGTAAGTAGTATCTGCGAAGTTAGCTGAAGTTAGATGAATAATGTACAAATTTTCTGGGCATCGGTAAGAAATAATGAGTAATATTAATTTTTGACAAACAGAAACATTAAAAATGGTGAAATATTATATATTTATATTAATAATTATAAATCAATAACAATTAATAATTTATATTTGTAATAATTTATAATATTTGTAATAATTAAAATTATAAAAAACATTTTTATAATTTTATTGTAATTTATAAAAGAAAACTTTTCTAGGAGTATATGAGTGTAAAGTAAGTAATTTTAAGGTTTGAGTTTTACTTAAAAGCGCTAAATAAGGGTGGTGCCACTGTAGCTACAGCCTAAATTTTAAAGAACTTTTATAAGTTTTTTATTGCATAGACTCATCATAATTCTTTTTACAATTATTATTTTATTGATTTCAAATTTTTTAATTTCATAACCATTCCCAACGTATTTACGGCGATCTATTATACGGTTATACCCTATAGCTACTCGCTGTTGTGGAGAGTTTTTGAACTGTTATTTACTGCTTACAGATGAACACATTTTTAATTATTCTTCTATGGGAGATTGTCCTCTTTACCTCTATACTCCATGGCCTAAACTAAAGTGAGGTGCTGCGATCGCTTAGTTGTCTCTAATTTTAATTGTTATAAATGTTTATAAATTATTAAAAATATAAATTATTAATTGTTATTGATTTATTACTATTATTATATACACGGCAGCACGGATATAAATTCTACAAATTTTCAGGGACAGGCAGGTTATCCTTTAGCACGTACCGATCGTTCTCCTGTTCTTTAACCTGCTTGCTTTCAAGTGTCAAGGACTCAGAAGGGCTAGATTCCAGAGCCGTAAAGCCAGTTAATTAAAAATAAAAAAATTCGTGTCAAACTGTCAAATAAATGTCTGACTGGCTCGGTGTCAAACTGTCAAATAAACGCCACATCTTATGAGTGCTTGCTATTGAAGATTAAATTTTTCGAATAAAATGATCTATGATATTTTATACAATGAACATAATTTCAGTCATTGAAAGCAATATCTTTTTTTTTATCTACTCATTAACAAACTACAGGATTATTTTATTTGAGACGCAAATCCCATTTTCCTTTTCAATACGACAATGGCCGATTTGTACATAGCTGTAGTTTGTTCGTCAAATATGAATCGGAGTATGGAAGCTCATGCATTTCTTGTCAAAAAAGGTTTTAAAGTAAAGTCCTTTGGAACTGGTGAAAAGGTTAAGTTACCCGGCGCATCAGCAGACCGACCTAATTGCTATGAATTTGGAGTACCATATGATGATATCTATAATGATTTATTAGAAAAAGACAAAACATATTATACTCAAAATGGATTACTCCATATGTTGGATAGAAACCGGAGAATTAAACCATATCCTGAAAAATTTCAGGTTTCTACGGAAAGGTTTGATGTAATTATAACATGTGAGGAAAGAGTATATGACCAAGTGATTGAATGGTTTGGTTCTAAAAGATCAGTATATAATCAACCAGTTCATGTGATCAATATAGACATACAAGACAACCATGAAGAAGCAACTATAGGTGCATTTTTAATAAGTGACATGGTTACAAAAATGGCACAAAGTGATGACTTAGACAATGACATAGATGAATTACTACATGACTTTGAAGCCAAGTGTCATAGGCCAATATTGAACTGCATAATGTTTTATTAATATAATATTTTGACCATTCCTAAATAAGTTTTCTTTCATAAAATGTATTATCCTCACATTGTATAATAATTAATGTATTTGTGTTCACATTTATTAATTTAAGCAGATATAAGAATTCTTGTATTTAAAGAAAATACATTAAACTTTTTCAAACCTTACTTACATGACTTAAAAGTTAATAATTTTATTCAATGGCAGTGTTTACTTTGTGAAGTAAATGTAAAATATGAATAAATTTGTAAAAAATGCCCTTCAGCTCTCCAAAGTTACGTAATACTAACAAGAACTTTGGATTCAGAATATTTATGACAACCAAATTGGGATTGGATAATATTATACTAGCAATCCCAGTTTTGCCTTCGCATGGGTTATTTATAGAAATCAACAATGGCACCGGGTACAATTGCGAATCTAAACCATTCTTGAATTAATCGCACACAAATTTCATCAAAATTGTTCCAGCCATTTCGGAGAAGTTCAGATACACATATACGGAAGAATTATATATTTTATAGATAATATTTATTAAAGCCATTCTTAAAATTGTTGTCACACAAAATCTTGCTTTTTCGACCTCATTTAGTATAACTACCTTAGAAAAGTGGTAAAATTAAAAATTTTGTACAATCGACTTCAATATAAATAAAATGAGAACATCATAGTAAAAATATATAGTCTCAGTCAATTAAATACACATTATTAAGGATAAATCAAAAACTACTGGTTAGATCTTGAACGACCAACACCACCACATGAGAAGCACCAGCTTTCAAATAAAAAACGTCATCAAAATCGATTCACCTAGAAAAAAGTTCTGAGGTAACACACAAAAAATCCATTCAAATTGAGAACCTCTTATTTTTTTAAAGTCGGTTGAAAGTATAACTTATAGGGTCTCAAAAGCTAGACTAGTTTTTTTCTGCACTTAGCATGTAGCTAAAAATTTCATTGGTGTTGGTAGAGATCAAAATTTAGGCCTGTGTAGTAAGTGCAACAGCTGCTTTGATAATATTCATCTGTCCACTGGTGAACATAGGCATAGATTGCATCATAGGAATGAATCTCCCATAGTTGCCACACTTGGCAAATGGATTAGCAACTGCAGCTTTTATTAGTTACACATTAGGCTAGTTTAAAATTAATATTATATAACATAGGTACTTTATTTTTCTACCTATTACCTATAATGCTGTAGTAATTATATAAAAAAAATAATGATAGCAAAAATATATATTCAATCACTAATTAGAACTTGTTAATCCTCGGAAATTCATAGTATGTATCCTTATGTGAAGTGTGATAAAACGCAATGTGAGTAGGGATGCGCGCGTTCTGTACTGTTCATATGCTGGGCGCTAGCAGAATAGCAGCATTGTAGGCAACTGCAACAATTATGCCGAGCTAGAGCCCATTCATTACTACACTACGTGATTTTGGTTATTTCTGTGTGTACTACTCATTGTAACTTTATTGGTGGTAATGAATAAATGTTTATTAATATTTTCGGTTCATATCTTGCCAATACTGCTGCCCATCTTTCGTTTGTTTTCCAGCGCCTCTTCAGACACCTATGGGAGGATATGAGGTAGTGGATGTTCTTACACTGCCACTACTGGTTATCTATCTGCCAAGTCGAGCAAAAAAGCGGCACGGCCGTACCATACTTTTCTCGAAGCAATTCAGGCCATTTTCGAACCCCTATAACTTCGTAGTGGATAAAACTAGAAGCCTGAAATTTCAGTAACCGAGTATAAATTGTATAAACATGATATATTTCAAATTTAATTTAATTTGAACCAGTAGTTTAAGAGGTATAACTAGTCAAAGTTTCTTAATTTTGTCACTCACTGACTGACCGATCATCAAAACTCTAAGGCACTTCTAGCAGACGTAGAAGCTTCAAGTTTAGAATACAATTAGTGTTTAGTGTATAAATCAAGGTAAAACTAAAATATTTTTTATTTCGGCCCAGTTTTCTAGATACATTAACTGCATAAATAACTTTTTAATCCCATATAAATATATGTATAGAATTACAAAGTTACATTTGCAGTGAATTAATCAGTGTATTTGTATATAGCTGTAGACGGGTACGTTGATGGCTTTCAAGAAGTAGAAGGTACCGGAAAGGAAAAAAATCTACAAAAAGAAATGAGATACCATCAAAACATAACTTGTAAAAAGAAACCAAGTCTCGCAATGCAGTTCTACCGTAAAAAGTTGTGAGATCCATGCAATACCAAGTCGGTTAACTTATTCAGTCCCTACTTAAGGGTCCTTCTGTTTTAAGTTATTACGTAATTAGCTAACCTAACAACATTTTATAGTGACCATATCAATGTTAAAAATCTTACATGTTTTAAATATATAGATTGACTTGGCAATCGCACTAAGCAATCGAATTTAATATAATATGTATTACTTTCGAGATACATTAAGTTTTCTTGCGATGGCCAAGTCAATATATTTATTTGAAACAAAAGATTTTTAACATTGATATGGTCACTATAAAATGTTGTTACCTAGGTTAGCTAATTACGTAATAATTTAAAAAAGAAGGACCCCTAAGTAGGGACCGAATAAGTTAACCGTTAACCGACTTGGTATTACATGGATCTCACAACTTTTTACGGTAGAAGAACTGAATTGCGAGACTTAGGTTTTTTATAAGTTATGTTTTGATGGCATACTATTATCTATTAAAGCGAAAGAGTTTTTTGTTTGTTTAAATACGCTAAGCTACCAGTTCGATTTGAAAAATCATTTTTTGGATTTAATAGTCTAATTCAAGAGGAGTATAGGGTATCTGGTATTAGTCTACACTTCTCAGGTAGCCTTAAATATTGATTTTTGTTAAGCAAGACGACTGAAACAGCGCCCCCAAACTGCTTTATCCGCGTGCGCTGCTGGCTAGTGGTACGTAAACACAATGTTTTACAAAAATATTGATCTAAAAAAAGTCCGCTGTACTACTTAAGTATATGGCTATAGGGGACGAGAGCAAAGTGGACTGTATATTTATTTATTCTTGTGTATACGCTAGGGATTACGATAGCAAATTGAAAATGAATTTAAACTATAACTGAACCTTGAGTTGAAATGAAAGCAGTTAAGAAATAAATCACTATATTTAAAATTATTTACAACAATTATTATTTGCGGCAGTTATCACTAAACCTATCAGGGATCTTGAGGGCTTCTTGCTTGCTTGTTCGTTCCGATTTTGCCGCTTGCTGTCGCTCGAATGCCGAAGCCGCGCCAGAGGCGCTTCTTATATTGCATCGGACGGTGCGCCGTAAGCACCGAGTTGGTGAGAGTGTATGTCCTCGCGGGGCCCGGGGGACGTGTCGACGTGGGTGCGGTGCGGGGCGACGGACTAAGGGCTTGTACACAAAACTGCGATGCGACGTCGCATCGTAAAAATCTGCTAGCTCCCTCGACGCATCGCAAGAACTTGCGAATTTATGAGCGTTGGTCGCTCACCGGGCATAACACCTTGCCCGGCGGGAGATCTCCCCTTTTCCTGCAGCGGCCACAGTGGTGACCACCCGACGTGATCTGAATACGCAACCAAACACCTTCGGAAACTACAACTTCAAGCCTTCGTCATTATCCTCAAGAACCCCTACTATTCACTACTGAGAATCGTCTTCTGCAGTCTTCAGTTCCTGCAAGCCAGTCCAACTTGTCTTCATCTCGACTCACCGCAGATTTATAAGGCAGACTTCTGGCACTTGCTCCGGCACATCGTTCTCACCGGCATCACTTGCCAGTGCGTAGTACGGCATGCATTACACATCGGCATATCATTCGCACCGGTGTCACTTGCCCTTACGCTCACAGCATGCATTCCCCACCGGCATTAAGGACGCACCGGCAATCGGACTGCACTATCGACCTCTGGTCTGAGCAGGGGCGTGATGTGGCAGCGCTGTCGTTGCGCCGCAAGCGAAACATACCGAATATTAAATCACGCTATCAATATTCCGAATCATAAACAGCATATATAGAACATCTCCGAACTATCACACGGAGTGTTGGCCGCTCCCCGGGCAGAACACCTTGCTCGGCGGGAGATCTTTTCCTTCCACGGCCACATTTATTTAATATAATTTTGTTATTTTTAATATTTATATATATTATATTTCCACACGGAAATATACGGTTCGACAAAAAATGAGATTGACTTCATTTATGACGACCAGACGCCAACTTTTCAGTGATGTCTCAGTGATCGCGAGGGTGAAAACTGGCAGCGATCACCGAATGGTTAGATGCACACTGAACCTAAACGTTAAGTTGGAGAGGTCTCGTCTAATGAAGTTACCGCTCCGTCCCCCTCGTGTTCTAATCCAGAATCCCGAAACCTTTCAGCTAGAGTTACAAAACCGCTTTCTGTGCATAGATGACTGCAATACAGTGGACAATATGTATGACAAGCTCGTGGAAACTGTCCATGCGGTCGGAGCTAAGTTCTACAAGACCCGCCGCAGAAGAACACAAAAACTCTCCGTCACACACTCTTAATCTCATGGATGTTAGACGGGAGATGAAGCTGCAGTCGTCAGTAGATTTGACAGCATACAGGCAACTGAACAGACAGATCGAAATGCATGCGGCAGGACTTACGTAACTTCAATACAGCTCGTATTGAAGAAGCGATTGAGCGGAACCAGGGCTCCAAAGTCCTTGCTAGAGATCTGTCTGCCAGAAAGAGCCAACTGTTAAAGCTGAAGACTGAGTGTGGCGACATCGTTTCTGGAACACCTGAGATTTTGAGTGAGATTGCGAGGTTCTATGGGCAGCTGTACACATCATTGTTGGAGTCATATCACACGCAAGTGTGAGTAACGATCCAAGAACAAGTCTTATCAGACACTATTGTGATGTCCCGGACGTCAGCCTGAGCGAGATTAGAATGGCTCTCCAGCACCTTAAAAACGGCAAGTCCCCGGGCGAGGATGGAATTACAGCGGAGCTTCTGAAAGCGGGTGGAAAAC